GCTTTTGATTAATATTTGGATATGTTATCTAGCTTTTAAGTTGAGTATTCAATATGCTGATGTGGCTGACTCAAGTAGATTGTTGTTTTGATTAGTCGTTAGAACTTTAGTCTAGTTGTTAGTTATATTTTCCTGTTGTTCTTACAGGTCCTTTTATAAAACTGTTTATTTTATCTTACACTGGTGATTTAAGTATACTTCTACTAAATTCTGCAGGCTGCAAGACTAATTAAACCATTTCCTGATTCTATGACAGGAGGTTCTTCTGTATACAACTTTTATAGTACAAGTTGTTATAATATGCATATCATCAGAAATAAAGGTGTGCATTTTTTTACTACTTGGTTTGGTGGTTTCACCAGCTGGAACAATTTAATTTAAAAATGATTTCGTTGCTCATGCCATACATTGTTAGCTATGCATTTTCCCCTTTTTTTTTGTGTGTTAGAGCAAGTTCTTAGCGAATTTATTTAGCAATTTTTTTTCACATGAAAATTTTGTAAAAGCAATTGTTTCTAGATGATAATAGAAATTACGCAATTTCGTGTTAGTTCCACGTATTATAATATTATAATATAAAGCTAACTTGAACCCTTCATAGTAATCCGAAAGTTCTAAAAAAATTGAATCAGACATTGAACACATTGTTAGTTATTCTTCACCCTAGTAACTCAACTGCTAGTGTGATCATGAAGATACTAATTACGCGATTTAGTGCATTGTTTCATCTTTAAGAATTGTTTGGGTGAGCAACAAAGCAATCTTTAAGAACTTGCATTGTTTCATTATTTGACTCGATTGATACATAAACAGTAAGCTGTATTTCCGTCTCTAAACTATTGTTTTGGTACTCATGTTTGTTAGTGCATTTTGAAGCTACCCACCCCATTCATTTATGAAGAGAGAAAGGGAAGGGAAAAACACCTTACACTGATATAATTTTATTGGCAAGGTTTCAGGTCCTCTCTCTTCGGTATGGAAAGAATGGGTCAAATGGTGTGTAGAATTTGGCATTCAAGCTAATGCAATCATTGCTGTTCCATATGATTGGAGACTGCCCCATTGCTACAGAAAATCATTTACAAGAGTGTCCTTTCTTTTTTCAGATTATATGAATATATTTAAGGGCATTTGTCCAATATTTGTATCCTCTGCCATGTTGTCTTTGAAGTTGATGGCAATTTGGCTCATATATTTATTTATTGAATGCTTATTTAATCATTAGTTGTGTGGCCGTGCATGTTTATTTAATTAATCCAATATTTGTACCCTCCCCAAACGCAGTGCATGCTTATATTTAATTAGTTGTGTGGCCGTGCATGCCAGCGCACGAGCCAGCGCAATCAGTTTTGGTATTTTGGGTTTAACACACCAGCGATGGGGTCAGGGTCAGGTTGGGTGAACTCTCTCCTGATCTGTGGGTGGATGGGGCGGGTTTGGGGAGGGTTTGCCCCCACTAGTAGGGCTAACTGTAACCATCAGGAAGTTTGGAAAATGCAGTTGTAACTGTAAAAAGCCAGTTTGCTACTTAAAAAAATTATCCCCTAACCGTGGCAACCGTATTGACCAACTGGATTGTGACGTGGTCTAGATTGTTTTTTATGAAGTAATTTAGATAAAACATATACATCATGTGTACGTTGAATTGCATAGTTACTTAGAAAAAAAATAATGGGGAAAAGGGTTATATAGTTAGAAAAAAGTGTGAAAGATGTATTTGCATACTAACTTAGGAAAGGAAATAAATAAACAAAAGTAGGATGAAAAGTGTTGTCTACAACAACGTGTGAAAGATGCATTTGCATACTTAATTAGGGAAAGGAAATAAATAAACAAAAGTATGATTAAAAGTGTTGCTTAGCGTGCCACAAAATAATTAAAAATATAATTAGAAAAAATACTTTCAAATATGTATTTACGTATTGGTTAAGAAAAGGAAATAAATAAAAATAAGTGAAATTTCGTGTGAAAGATATTGCAAATGGTGGGAAAAAAGTTATGTAATTAGTTCCTCGTGTGAAATATTTATTGAAATAAATAAAGAAATAAGTAGAATAAAAAAGTGTTGCAAATCATGGCAAATAGTAATTAAGAAAAATATATAATGGGTGAAATGGAAGAACAAATAAATGAAGATGTATTCGTGTATTCATTAGGAAAAGGAAATAAATAAACATGAGTGAAATTGCGTATGAAAGATATTGCAAAACTGGGAAAAAAAGATTATGTACTTAGAAAAGTGTGTGAAAGATGTATATTGGAAATAAATAAAAACAACAGAAGAAAAAAGTGTTGCAGAAATAAATAAAGAAAAAGTAGAGTAGAAAGTGTTGCAGATCGTGGGTCCACATAGAAGAAACAGTGAATGTGCAATTCTGAGTGGGCCCACTGAGTAATCTGAAGAGAGAGAGAGAGAGAGGTGTATTTTGGGAATGAACGATACACAAGTTTGGAATAGAAGAAGCCAGAGCATACCTGAGCGGTGGGAATGGAATGAGTACAGGAAAGGTTCTGGCCTATTTTATGCAATTGCTATAGCAACAGCCTATTTTATGCAATTGCTATAGGAAATAAATAAATCAATCTGGATGGAATTTCCTCTCCATTCTACATAGTCTCAAATTGATATGAAACCGCTAAAAGCGTCTTCCTCTTGATTACTTCCGCTAAAAGTTTAACGTCGTCCTCTTGATTACTTCTAGTACATAGCCTGTTTTGTAAAAAAGAGGGGTAGATGAACCTTGAAACTTAAAGAGGTGATAGCAACAGCCAGAAACAGGATCAATCAAAGATTCTGGTCTATTTTATGCAATTGCTATAGCAACAGCCAAGAGCCAGTGTACCAATGCTAAAGTTTATTTCTTACCTAGATCCTACTGAGTGCTGGCTGAAATCTGGACACAAAAAGAAGCATTCGTTAACATCAAGGGACAAAACTCAGGAATATCTTACAATGGGGGAGGTCTGCAAGTAATAATATATAGCAAACGTTGCTTTCCATATGACAAATTAAAATAAATACTGAATGTGTAATTAAACTGTTAGTTTACTAATTGTTTTGAGCCACTAAAACTTATATACATGATATAATGTCTGGAAGCAAGATATAAATATATACAATAGTACAATAAAAGGAACAATTGATGTCCCGAACATATCATTTCTAAAGACAAGTCTAGTAATAAATAATTAATTACGGACAGAAAAAATGCAATTGTATTGAAACGGCACAACATGTAATCAGATAATATTTTTTTTAGTTCAATATTATTGCCACTAACTATACCTGAGTAGATAAGTTTTGGACGCAAGATCAGTTGTTGGCTGGCTTCTCGGTAATTTAGTAGTGGCACCGTCCCCTTAGTTCGTCATCGCTGCATGGCATCAGTCGAAATATTCTGCAGAAAGTTTCACGAGGTAGATGCGGACCAGCACCGCCGTGGAGATGTCGCGCATGGGGTCGTCGATGTTATAGCCGCGGACGCCGCAGCCGGTGTCGAGGAGACGGAGGCCTGCCCTAGCGCCGAGGGAGTCCGCGCCGACCACCAACCTCGTGGAGTCGTGAATGCGCGTGGGAAGATGCGGTTGTTGATGGGCGAAGGAAACGGCACAGGAGAGGATTCGTAGCCTCGTAGGGAGAGGAAATCGGAGCAGGGGTCGTAGGGAGAGGAAATCACCGACGCGGGTACACGCTCTGGGTAGGTTTGGCGCGCGAAAAAAAAAAACGGAGCGGAGGAGAGATCAGTAACCGATCACAGCAGGGAAAGGTGTTTCGTCGTATAAGTAAGGTCCTTCTCGCTTTAGGGTGCGCCTGTCAGATCTATCTCAAGCGCTAGATATAAAATTGAAACACATCCAAGGGTGGAGACCTTAGGTGGGTAGAGGGCTTTTAGGTGACAGGTATTTTATAATTCCTTCGCTCTTTTATAGTATAGAATAGAATAGATAGATATAGATTAGTGCCAACAGTAACCTGTCAAGTCAGGTTTGGGTAATCCTTAGTATGTCTGTGGCTGGGTGCGTGGACAGTTTGGTTGGGAGTTGTCTGGGGAAAGTGAGTTACCAACTTCAGTTTGTTAGTGCCTGGGAGTGCAAGCAGATGGTTGAGTCTTCCTGGGAAATTTGGTGGAGCTCACTCCATGCAGGTTTTAGACCAAGGTGTTCTAAGCCTTGTTCTCGAAAAAAATAAGTGTGCCTGTATGGGGTCCAGGTTCAGCATAATTGCCATGTCCTCAGGTTTGGTGCAGAGTTGTTCGTGCTAATCAAGGGATGGTGCCAGCACCTGAAAGATGGTTTTCTGAAATGGAAGAAGATATCGGTGGCTAGTTTCTTTGGCTAGTTAGAAGATGAAGGTAGGTTGTGTTGCTGTTCGGGAGCCAAGTTTTTGTGGCTAATATTGTTGTACTCCTAGATTGCGAGTAGTCCTTTTAGTATCCTTGCCTAGTTTGGCGGTCTGCCAAATCTAGGGAGCCGTTTGCTCCGCTAGTGCATGTAATTCTCTCTTCTCCTTAGTAATATATGCCAGCTATGTTCCGGATCTTTAAAAAAAAAGCTATCCAAAATGCATGGTGGATCATACATATGTGGCTGTCGTTGGTTATAATTGGACGATAAATATATATAATGTCCCAAAATGGCACTTGAACTAGCTAAAAGACATTTGTGAGGCCGGCCATTCATGACGTCGTTCTCCATGCACTAGAGAGGCATAGATGCAAGGAGAGCCAGCAAAGTCAATGCTGCATCCTAAGCCACAAACTCTGAGTGCAAGCCTGCAAAAATAGACGGTGACTGACCTATAAGTAAGGTCCGAAGAAGGTATATATATATGCTCATACAGAGTTCATTGCAACCAACAACGAGTAGCTAGCCACCATGGCTTCTTCCTCTACTCATAGCTTCCTGCTGCTTTTCCCCCTCCTACTGCTCCTCTCCACCGTCATCGACTCCGGTAGTGCGCCAACCCCAGCCCCTGCAGCTACAGCAGAAAAGTACCAGAAATGGTGCCAAGTACGGATTCTCAGTCGTGCATCAAGGTGATTGAGGCCATCCCTGGGATCCAGGAGGTTGATTACAATAACGCTGGCAAGGTCGCCGACTTGTGCATGCATTTTGCTGCCAATAAGACAACGGAGGCCAAGGGAGCTGCTGACACCTTGCTTGCTGCAGCAAAGGGCAAGCCTTCCAGTTGCCTCAAGGCCTGCGCCACCAACATCAAGTCAATGGCCGAGGTGTTGGTCAATCTCCCTGCTGGGCAGGACGACATGAACGCCTATCTCACCTTTAAGGATGTCAGAGCCAAGTTCAAAGACGAGAAACCACCAGCCTGCGAGAAGGACTGCTGGAACAAGACGTCATCGTCTTCAGCTGACGAGACCGGCATCGTGGACAAGTTCCATGATATCTGGAATGTGGCCAAAGTTGGGAATATGCAGATTAATTATATCTTCCCTTGGCCAGACAGCGACGACGACGATAACATCCTTTAATTAATATATGTTTTTCTATTCTATTTGTGTCTAATCCGTGTTGTGACAGCTATGACCATGCATGGTGTCATGTGAGATCACATTACTATTTGTATGTTTTGTTCTTTTTATTTTGTTTGAAGACATGATCGATCTTGGCCACCCAATATTTTGACAAATTATTGTAATTGTAATAAGTTGTGTTATTTATTGCAACAATGTGCGTTATGTTTGATGTTGTATTTATGTCTATGGTAACATTAAGGGGACATATAATATTAATTACACGCACCATGTTTGATGTTGTTCTTTTTATGTCTATTGCGTCGACTGGGACGACCTGGAAGCAGCGGCGCGGTGACGGGACACCGAGCTCTCCGCCTACTGCTCGAGGGCAATGTGAAGGAGCCGCCTTGCCTCATGGAGCCTCTCGTTGTTCTTTGGATCCGGCGTGTCGGAGATGTCTCCGAGGCGACAAGCGGCAGCTACCATGTTGTAGGCCGCGTGGGGGAAGCGCAGCGTGCTGGGCACCCCCGTGCAGTTGTCGTTGTCGCGAAGAGCAGCCTGCTGCTACTCCATCTCCTCCCTCGTTCTCTTGAGCTCGGCTTCGGCGGCGTCGAGATCCACCTGCCAGGACTGGAGGCGCGCATCCTTCTCCTTGAGGTAGGCCGCGTGGCTGGTGGGGCTCAGATCCGGAGGTGTGAGGTCAGGAGCATCGTCAGCGGCAGCCCCGTCGTTGATGAAGAAGCACTCGCGGGAGGGAGAGAAGTAGTCGACGTCGTCGGAGTCGTACTCCAGGCCACACCCAGAGAGAACCTCGAGGAAGTTGCGTAGAGAGGGGACATCGGTCCCCGCCGCGCCCGAGAGGATGACGCCACGCGGTGCCTCTCGGCTGACGAGGTGCTCCAACTCGAGCTAGAACGACACCGTCGCATTCTGGATCCCGTACAGGAGATCACGGAGGTAGTACCAGAAGCGGTCGGGTGGCGAAAGTACCTCGTCGGTGATGATTTGGTAGTGGACATTCGCCAGCATGTAGAATATCTAGCGTTGTTCCGACACAGTGGGGTTCGGGCCTAGCCTAAGCCAGATCTGCCGGGCGAGGACCTCGAGGTCCGCTCCCATCAGCGCGGTCTCCTTGAGGGGGTGAAGCTCGCCGTAGCAGTCGGCGACGTAGTACAAGCTCCCAAAGTTGAGAACTTGGCCGAGGATGAAGGCGCCAGCGGCGACGACCATCTCGCCTGAGAAGCAGACGCCGCCTTCTAGGGCAGCACCACCTGCTTCAGCGACGAGGCGGGTGGCTCCGACCACCATAGAGTCGTAATGACACTCGACGCGCTCCCCTACCTAGCGCGCCAGCTGTCGTGGGTTCGTTGCCGTGGCAAGCATCGTGATTGTTCGTTGGATGTCGGAAGTGTGGGTCTCCGGTGGCTTGGGTACTCAAAAACACAAGGGAGACATAGCGGTTTATCTTGGTTTGGGCTATCGAGGCCCTACGTCCAGCAGTTAAGTGTTCTACGTGTTCAGGAGCACCCAAGTCGGGGGTTACAACGGAGGAGAACGGGGATTTGGTAGAGGATCGCTCGGTGCTATCCTATGGCTCGTCGGCGGTGAGGTTTCTTCCCGGCGAGTGAGGAATCGGCCCTGTCTCTAGCTGGGTGGCCGAGGGGAACACTCTGTTGTTCCTTTGCTTCTCGGGATAGGATCTCTCTCTGGTGACCAATCGGGCTCTCTGCTCTGTTCTGTTGCCCTCTTGGCCCCCTTCTCCCTCTCTATGGGAGACGACCCTCCCCTTATATTTTGAGGAAGGTTGGGTACAAGTCGATTTGGTGTTTTGGTCTATGGTCTTCATGCACCGAGTTCAGGAGGGTGCTGCCGTGGCATGGATGGACCTCGGCTTCGTTGTCTATTGTGGAGCTAGAGGAGCTACTGGCGCCACCTGACACTGTTGTCATCGCCTGGCACTTGACAGTCAGGGGCTGTTTGCTGCGGTCCAACCTCCCCCAGGTGAACCTTCTCGAGGCCTCCTTGGCCACGAAGGAGCCTCGACCTAAGGGGCTAATGAGTGGGCCCTAAAGACCTACCATCCCTGGAGTCAGTGAAGCTGCTTGTCGTGTTGCATCATGCCAATTGCGTGACCCTATCGGAGGAGCGGTGGACAGTGCCTCGCGTCCATTGGTCTTGGAGGCACTGTGGAATCTCTGCGCCCATCGGGCTTCGAATGCTCGACGGGGTTGATAGCTCAGGATAATGCCCAGATGCCCGGGCGCTAGCCCGGGCCTGTGCTGGGTCGAAGTCAAGCTCGGGCCACCGTCGCTTGGAATCCTGGGCCCTCACGAGCCCTCGAGCCCCGAGTAGCGGCGGTAGACGCGCTCAGGCTAGGCCTAAGTCCTTCCAGAGGGTGCGCACGAGCGTACCCGATGGGTATAGCCCCTGAGCGATCTGTGAGATCGGTCGGGGGTCCGTCAATTGGCAATTCCTTACCAGGGACTTAGCGTACCCCTAGGTTTAACTCTCGTCAACTAGTTTAGCTCAGCTTTTCAATTAGAATATAATTTGACTAAATTAATATCATTCGCATGGTTTTGTTTAAGTAAAAATCAATCAAGCCTATAGTCTTTTCTTATATATTATATATCATTCGGTAGTCATCTCTTTTGCACCATAGTTCTGTTTTCGGTGTTTCTTGCGTTCCTGTGACTGTAGCAACGAGCCTCTCTTTTAGCATGCTATATTCAAGCTTTTGCTTTGATTGGTGTACTGTTCTTAGTTGTTTTTGCACTACAAGAAATGTGTGGTTTCTTGACGTATTTAGTATGACAACATGTCATAATGTTATTATATCATCCGGTTTATGACATTCTGTTTTAGGCATTTCGACTTAGTGACAATAAAAAGTTGCTCGGGCTACGCAATCATAAAAAAATATGGGCAAAAAACAAAAATGAAATAATGGACCAGGCAATATCAACCCCAAAAAAGCTTGTGGCCCATGAAGAGGCTACCTGCTATGTGGGCTTTAGTAGGCTCAAAATTCATTTTGTGACTTTTTTTCCTGCCATGTCAGTGCCATGTCAGCTTTTGATCCTACGTGGCATTTGCTCATGTGGCAAGGCCTAGGATTTTGTGACTATAAACCAAAGTCGTAAACCTTTATGACACTAAAATCCATTGTCATAAGCTTGTGACAATAAATATACAAACGTAACATAATCAATTTGTGACGGCGGTTTTTTGACGTTTGAATTTTCGTCAACTGAAAGTCATAAATCTTAAGTTGAGATATTAATTCCATATATTTTGACATAAATAGAATGTCAAAAAACCACATATTTCTTGTAGTGTTGTTTTATGTACTTGTATGTTTCACTACCGGAGTGAGGAAGTTTGCCGTGTGCCCACACACATGGCGAAGCCCAAAAAACACTCGGCAAAGCCTTTGCCGAGTGTTACACTCGGCAAATGGCACTCGGCGTACACAGAGTCGACAAACGTTTCTTTGCCGAGTGTTTTTTATTAGGCGCTCGGCAAAGACATTGACAAGTGTTTTTTGGGCACCGACACGGCAAAAAAATAAAAAAAAAAAAAAACCGCCACCGCCACCACGCGGCTCGCCCCGCGGCCACCGCCACCCCATGGCTTGCCCCACCGCTGCCGCCACCCCGCGGCTCGCCCTGTCGCTGCTCGCCACCGCCACCACGCGGCTCGCCCCGCCGCTACTCGCCCACCGCCACCGCCACCATGCGGCAAGCCCCGCCGCTGCTCGCCACCGCAACCACGTGGCTCACCCCGCCTCTACTCGCCCGCCGCTGCCGCTGCCACCATCGCCCAGCTCGCTCGCCGCTTCCCGCTCGGCCCGCCGCCACCGCCACCACCTGTGCAAAAAAAGGAGGGAGAGGGAGGGAGATGGGGAGAGAGGGAGGGAGATGGTGGCGCCGGGAGGGAGGGGAGGGGGCAGTGCTGGGAGGGAGGGTGGAGAGGGAGATGGAGGGAGGGGAGGGGGCGCTACTGGGAGAGGGAGAGGAGGGAGAGAGGGGGGCGCGGGAGAGGAGGGAGGGAGGGGGGGCGGTGCCGGGAGAGGGAGGGGAGGGTGGGAGGGAGGGGGGGCGGACGGGTGCTTTTATAACATGCTGAGTTTGCCGAGTGTCAGATCGAGGATACTTAGCAAAGCTGGCTTTGCCGAGTGTCAGATCACAACACTCGGCAAATGAATCTTTGCCGAGTGTCTAGGGTTTGGGGCACTCGGCAAATATATTATTTATTTTTTATTTCCTTGTTTTCCATAACGTGTTTTTCCTTTTTTGTTCGATTTACTTTGAAAATACCTTGTCAAATTGACTCAACAATATATATGATTTTTCTATGAATATGATTCCATTATTTTATGCAGTTACAGCTCAAATTTAATTTATATCAATTAAAATTCTATAATTGTGCTTAATAAATTAAAATTATCAAATAGATCCAAAAAATTACCAAAATTTCACATGAAACAATCTATGTTCTTTATTGCCTATACAAAAAGTTTTGAAGTCAAACCCTAATTCGACCATCACTTTTACTCAAAATCTTACCAATTCCTTCTCAACGCTACGATTATTCTTCTAAGATGCTGCGGTTTGTAAACATCGTACGTGACAAATTGTGCGAAACCTTCGCAATTTTTTACCATAGCCTCCACGTATGATATCATCATGTCATGACAAATCTTATGATTTTCAGACTTCATTTGCTTTTTTTAGAATTCAAAAACCATTCAGCCATTTGTTCGTAGTCGTGTTTCCTGAACAAGATGTTCAAATTTTCTTTTCATTTCCTGGGTAAGGCCTCAATAACATGAATATTATTTTTCTACTCATTTTATTCTATTATTTGAATCAGATACAATTCAAATTTAACTTATACAAAAAAATCGTAGAAATACAATAAATTAATTAAATATAGCAAACAGATCCACAAATATACCAAATTTTAACATGGAATACCACATGTTGTATGTTGAGAGTACAAAAAGTTTTAAG